AAATAATATTTTTTATTACGTAAAATTCAATATTTAAACTACAAAAATGTTTTCCTAAACAATAGCATAATGGGTCATTCCTGTTCATTTTTATTGACTATTAATTAATTTTGATATAATTTTTCCTAAACAATAGCATCATGGGTAATTTTATTCGTATTTATTTTTATTAACTTTTAATTAATTTTGATTTCATTGTTAGAACAATAAAAAGGTACGTGTCATAAATTTACTTTCACATCTCTATGAAAAATTAATAAAAAATAAAATTAAAAAAGACATGACAGATCTAGAAAAACAAAATCGCTCTCCTGTAAACTACAAGATCGCTTTAGTAGTCTTTATTGAACTGACAAAGGCATGATATAGTGTACCACTTTCAATGTTGTAAGTAGCAATGAAGAAACAAGGAATAAACAAAAATATTCCAGAAGTTTGAAATATTGGAATATTTCATCTTTTTATTGATTTTTATATATTATAAACTCTTCTGAATAGTTAAACAATACGAAATAAATCTCAAAACCAGATAAACGAAATGAAAAAATTTTATTTATTCTCTTAGAGTGAAAAAGTTACAATGTACAACTTACATTTAAAAATAAATTAGTATGAAAAAAAGTAATTTTTAATAAAACTAATAATTAGCATTTCCTCCATTGGCCTGTATGCATGCCTGTAGGCGATTTGGCATGCTGCCAATTAATTGGTCGAGCTGGGCTTGCAGAATTCTCTCCCATTCTTCGCGAGCAGCATCTTTTATTTCATCAGCAAGTGTAATAAGGGATTGTTTCGCTTCTTGATGCGTGTTTTGAGAATATTTCAAGCATGTTTAATAACATTCATGTCATGGGAATTCGAGGACCACTCTAATGTAGATATTCCTTCTTCTTCCAGAAAATTTTGTACTGCTGCTGTTAGATGAGAAGGTGAGTTATCATGCATAAACACAAATTCATTTCCTACTGCCGTCGGAATAGACGTTAGACAGGATTTAAAACTTCCTCGATGTACACAGCACCAGTGACCCTTTTCTCCAGAACCAGCAGTGGCATCCGTGTACCACTCATAATAGTACCCCAAACCATAATACCGCCACCTTCAAATGGGACACGACGCGGTTCGGCTGTTTCTAGTCGGGCTTGTCGTCCTGGGGCCCTCCAAACCAGTGTTTTTCGTGAATCAGATACCAAGCCAATTTTGGACTCATCAGAGAACATCACGTTATTCCAGTCAGGACCATGATGCACCATTTTTCTGGCCCAATGCAACATTACTATTTTGTGTTGGTAGGTTAATTTAGGAACACGTAACGGTCTTCTACGAAACAAATTTATCGCATTTAGTCTGCGAGTTAAATTGCCGTGAAATATTTAGTCCTTAAAGCATAGAAATTTCTCTGGATATACCACTTGTAGACTCCAGATGATTTCTACGAGCTATCAATGGTATTTTCCGGTCTTGTGCTGCTGTTGTACACCGACTTCTACCACTTCTGGGACGATCCTTGACGTCATTTGTATCTTGAATTTTTTTAAATTTTCATTACAGCACTCTGAACATCATCAACAATATTCGCGACTTTAACTAAAGCTCTGATGTAACAAACAATTACTCTAGATCTGTCAAAATAAGATATCACGTTTCTAGACATTTTTAAACGACTTAATTTAAATCTAAACAAAGACTGAAATAATGTGTAAATACGCGAATCAGTTGAATGTGACCAAAATCATACAAAAACGATTCAAAGTTTTTATCATTTTCATTTAAAAAACGCTCTAGAATGAATATCAACAACAATTTAAAAACAACCATAGTCTTAGATGTATTATTTGTACTTATTCCAAACTTTTGGATATATGTGTATATAAAAGCAATACAAAAGCTGTACAAAAATATGACGCTAACAATAAAATTGGAAACAAATTAACTGAAGAAATTTCTATTATAGTACATTTTTTTTTATTTGAAACGGCTTCAACCACAAGGGTTATTAGCAATGGTCGATTTTACAAATAACATAATTATAAAAAAAAAATTAATAATACAATTAGATTTTGTTAGTTAGTCCTGAGGAAACCAAAAAAAAAATATAGTACGATTGCCGTCGCTATGTTCACTTAGAATGTCTTTTACTGCTGTAGGTAAATGTTCATATTGTCTTTCAAGTGCGTACAACGGACACTCTACTAAAAAGTGCTGTACTGTTAGATATCCATCACACGCGTAAAACAAAGGTTTGGGTTACTTCTGTAGTAGAAAATCATGTGTGATCTTGGTGTGTCCTAACCGTAGTCTGGACATGAAGTTCTTAAGATTGTGACACGAATTTCCTTTAAAATGTGTTGCTTGCGAACATTGGATGAATGGATGAGATTTATTTATAAGAATCTTAAGATCTTCTAAATGGGTATGGTACCCATTTAGGTTTTATTGAATAATACAATTAAAAATAGTTTAATTAATAAGTCTCTGAAGAGGAATTGCTAGGATCATCGGTAGTATTATTTAAAACTTGTTCTGTTATTTTGTTTTTAATTCTAGAACAACGGAATTTAAGATATCTTGAACTTAACATAGGATGTATTTTTTTTTAGAAAGTCTATCAATCCTTCGATATCCTCCGAGTAAGGTCTGGTGACAATGAAAGGATCTAAAGAACCATGAGCATTTTCAAAAAAGTCAATAAGTTTTTACTGTGTTAAGTATCCATTGTTGAAATTTTCCTTGAAGAATTGACTGGTGCTTTTGGCAAGATCTTCTATTAGGTTTCTGTTGTTTTCTGTTTAAGTTTTTGGTTTTTCGCTTCGTGGCTTCGGTTCAGCGAAGGTATTTTCGTTATCTTTAATTGGGGGGATATTATATCAGATAGGTTTCATTTAGGGTGCTGAGATGAGGATGTACCTTGATCAAAGGTATACATTTAAGCCTCATTGGGTACGTCGCAGCTTATCTGAGTATGCTTATTTGATTAAGAGGTAATGATTTTTGTAGACGTTTCAGAATATCAATATCAAAAAATCCAAGTATATGGTCTTCAGTAAAAACATGACACAACCAGTACATAATAGTATAAACGGCACTTAAATTAAAAAAGTGTCAAGTTACAAATACTTGGGGATTTCAACAAACGAAACTGGAGAGCAAAATTCTTTCCTTAAAGGGTTTGTCTTTATATTGTTTGTTTCTATACAAAGTTTCTATTGCACCGTAGTCCAGTTTACTGCGAATAATTGATTTGTAGAGGTTAAGCAGAATACTAGAATCAGCTCCCCATATATTACTGGATAGAATTTTCAGCAAGTTAACTCTATTTTGACAAGTTAATTGTAAAGTCGTTATGTGTGTTTTCCAGTCTAATTCAATTTGTAATCAAACGTTAGGCCCAAAAAATTCGATTCCTCTGAATAAGATATATTTTGACCATTAAATATTAACGAAACAGGAATGGTATTCTTGCGTTTGCTGAATACTGTGTAATGTGTCTTATTATTTGAAAAGAGGAAGCCTGTTTTGGAATACCATTCTTCGATTTTGTATAGAAGGTTCTGTAGTATTTTAGCCCCAGATGTAATATTTTTGCATTTAATATAGACAACTAAATCATCAGCGTACAAGTTTGCTTTTATAGGAGGCTTAATTGTATTTATTACATCGTTAAATGGAATTAAAAATAAAGTTGGGCTTAAAATAGAACCTTGTGGAACACCGTTGTCGAGTAGTCTAGTGTTAGAGGTGTATCCATTTACTCCTTATTTTATCATATTTTTATAAAATATATTTATCAACAACTTTCCTCAAGCAATACAAAAACACGGTAAAAATAGTATCAAAATATACACTTACGGAAAATAGAGGAAGGTTACTTGTATTAATGGTCTCTAAGCTACTACTAACCGCTACCTTATAACCAACTATTATGCGAACTAAAATGCCGGAAATGTATATAGGTACTCAATTTTACAATCAATTTTACAATTTTTTTTATTGAACTTGCTGCTCTAAGCAAATCAATTGATCTCCATTGATACCAATCACGTAGATTCTTCACCCATGAGTTCTGCCTTCGGCCAACAGACCTTCTTCCTTGAATTTTTCCCTGTCTTATGAATGTCAAAATTTCATATTTTGGTGGCCTAGGTACTCCAGTTTTCTGGTGTGTATAGTGGTGATTAGTTCTGTTTCTTTACCAACCCTCTTCAGTATTTCTTTATTTGTAATTACATTTCGGCATTTGCAAGACGGTTGTTACCGCTATGTATTTCTAATCAGATGACGAGTATAGCAGGGGTGTCGCAGCACACAGGACGGTTGTAGTAGGTGTGTCCAGCAATGTGTTAAAAAAACTCAAGGCAGAAAGTGCTAAATTTGCACTCAAATTTAACTACAATAAAACCAAAATCATGTTTATTTATTGCCAATATCAGTTTCGGTTTTTTGAAACACGAACTATTGCAGGATGTAAGTTGGTCTCCTCTATGATATATCTTGTAGCTCTAGTTAACAACACAGACAGTTGTGGACCAGAAATTTTAAGACGCATTAATCCAGCAAGACCAGCAATGACTGAACTAGATAGCGTGGCTCGATCAACATATTACTATGATAAACAAGAAAATACTGGCACAAGTCTTTTCCATATTTTGATATGTATACTATGTCGCCGTTCAAATATCTCGGTTTTAGATGAAATTAAACCTAATCAGCGTCTTTGTAGAACTGCTTACTCTAGAATTTTAAAGTTCTTTGGTCATATCTATCAAAGTGATTATAAAATCGAGTAGTTTGTGATCCAAGGAAGCTTTCAGAGTTACCTTAGACATTACGAAAAATCTTTTTAACAAACAGTATACTGTGGCAGTGCAGGTAACGGATGACTAACCACAACACAACTGCGAAGATCGTATTAACTATGATGATGAGGCCAGTCTAGGAACTTAAGGTAAAATTAAAAACATCATGTTTATATTTTATTCATCGAAAAAAAAACCTCTAGTTTATAATAATAATGCTTGGCCTAGTTCAGGTTTGTCGCATTTTCCTTCAGAGCTACATTCTAAACCATTCACACATTTTTGAGTTGATGGAAATACCACGGTAAGTATACCGCGTTTACAACTCTGACCTTGATCTAAAACACAAAAAAGAAAGTTAGCTTTTAAATGAATACAAGCATGAAGAAGATATGGTAGAAACAAAGAGAGATAGCCAAGTCGGATATTTACCATCAATATTTTATAAATTTGATTTTGAGAATCCATTGGCATACTTCAGTGCATAATGACTGTTTTTAAATAAAAATAAAATAAGTTGTGCTTGATACTTGATATTGACTTCATTAATGTTCTAAGTAATTTGTCTAGTATAAAATTTCCAAATATCATATCAATGTTTGATAGACAAAGTAAGAAATGAATAAACTTGAGAACTAGATTAAACTAGATTAAGAGAGGTGGCCTTTCGGCCTATTCCACTGCGACCTTTTCAGATATATTGTGGTCTTCTAGTCCTAGATAACATTGTCTAGCCAGATCCTTTTTATAAAGTCTAGTAGCTTCGAGACTGTACATTCCATGTAGCTATTTGCTGGTAGATTTTCTTCTCCTAATTCAAAGAACTGCACATTTACCAGAGTGTCACACTTGAAACCTTAAGAACTCATGAATCTTCTTCTTCTTCATGTACCATGTCCTTTCAGAACGTTGGTTACCATTACGGCTATCTTAATTTTATTCACTGCCACCCTAAATAGCATGCTTGTATCAACACCATACCAACCTCGCAAGTTCTTTAACCATGAGGTTCTTCTTCGTCCTGGACTGCGTTTGACTGCTATTTTTCCTTGCATGATATTTTGTAGCAACCTATATTTGGGACCTCTCATTACATGTCCGAAATATTCCAGCTTTCTCTGCCTGATACTTTTTATGATCTCAGTAGTCTTGCTGACCCGTTCTAGTATTGTGGAGTTTCGAATCTTCTCCACCCAGGAAACTTTTAAATTCTTCTATAGCACCACCTTTCGAAAGCCTTAAGGCGATTTAGATCTATTTTATTCACAGCCCAGGACTCGACACCGTAAAGTACGACCGACAATAACTCTGTTGCATAACACCTTGGACATCCTTCTAAAAGCAGCTCTAGCCTGCTCTATCCTAGATTTAATTTCGCCGTGACTTTCTGCGTTAGAATTTAATTGCTGTCAAAGGTAAACGGTTTTATCAACTTGCTCAAGTTTGAAACTATTAACATATAATAGACTGTTTTGTATGCTGTTGTTTACTTATTTCGAGTATTTTGGTTTTCCGTATGTTAAGATCCAGACCTACCTCCCTACAACTCTCAACAACACTATTAAGGCGTGTTTGCAGATCTTCTTGACTAAAAGCTAGGAGTACTGTATCGTCCGCATATCGCAAATTATTGATGACTTTGCCGTTTACATGTATTCCTTGTTGTTTTTCAGAAAGTGATTTTCTGAAAATTCTTTCGGAGTAAACGTTAAAAAGCAGGGGTGACAAGAGGCATCCCTGCCGTACTTCTCTTTTATTATTGAGAGCCTGTGATTCCACATAATCTACTAAAACTGATGTTGTTTGATTCCAACTAATTAATGTCCTCCTCAATCCTTTCTCCTTCGTAAGGATGTAGTGGGGTCACGTAATTTGTTTAACTATTTTTGCCCAATGATCTCTCTTATGTTTGTGTTGTTTGGCTTCGGAGAATGAGTAAGCAGTTATCTCCTTTATTTGGTCCGATCATCGTACTGGAGCATAATGAACGTAAAGGGGAGAATAATTTGTTGATCGTTAAAATATTTGGCTTTTAATTGGTGTACATATTATATATTATGAAAGAGGAATACACACTGTCTTGAGACTAACTGGTCTATTTATTCCTTCAATGACTCTTCTTTTCTTTCAGTGACACTTAGAACCTCCTATTCAGCAACATACTCCGTATGGAGTTGTCTGTCTCTCATCCGACGGATCCCAGGTGGTAGATGGGGGAACGCCCTAACTGGTCCTAGGACTGGTAGGTAGTTGGAAAATAAAAATCCTCCTGCACAAAAGCATATGTTACGGAACCTCAGGAACTATTCATCATCATTAGCCATCCACTGCTGAACATAGGCCTCCTCGAAAAACCTCAATTCAGATCTATCTTGAGCTGCTGCAGTTGGAACAAATCCTCTTTATGTCGTCAGTCCATCTTGTGGGTGGTCTTCCCGGGTTTTGTCTATTTGCTCTCGGTCTCCCCTCCAAGATTTAATTGGTCCACCTATTATCCTTCATTTAAGCGACGTGTCCTGCCCACCTCCATTTAATTTTGGCTATTTGTTTTATAATACCTTCTTCACCACTTTTCCTACGGATTTCTTCGTTTCTTACCCTGTCTCGCAATTTTATGCCTAACAATGATCTTTCCATTCTACGTTGCGTCACTTGTAGTTTTCGTGTAGATGTCCTTGTTAGGGTAAGTGTCTCTGCGCCATATGTAAGAATAGGCAGGACACATTGATCAAAGGCTTTTCTTTTTAAGCTGATAGCTATATCATTTTTAAAAATATCACGCAGTCTTCTATATGCTGCCCATCCCAGTGTTATTTTTCTTAGCAGTTTAGCATTTTAATTATCTCTGATTTAAACCCATCATTTTTGTCTTGTGGTAGTTAATATTTAGACCTATTTTAAGTGCTGCATCGCTGAGTTCATTCAAAATATCACTTGCAGCCTTTAGGTCATGTGAAATCAGAACAATGTCATCTCTAAATCGTCTATGACTAAGCATCTCACCATCAGTATTTATTCCTTTACTTTCCCATATTCCATTGATTTCAATGCATGTTCAAGCATTTCTGTTTAATAATAAATTTTCTATAATATTATTGTACCTATGATCAATTCGACACTCTTCCAATGCCTTTAGAAGTGCAAGTAGTTCGATAGTATCAAACGCTTTATGGAAATCTATAAATGTTAGAACTAGAGGTCTATTGTATTCTATTGATTTTTCAATCAAGACTTTTATGCATTGAAGGTGGTCATTTGTACCGTAGTTGGAGCGAAAACCAGCCTGTTCTCTTGGCTGATATAGCTCAAATTTTGTTTTCAATCGATTGATATGAAATGAGTAGATATTTTAAGGGTAGCTCTAACCATCGTATGGTCAGAGATGGCGAGAATCTATTAAGAACGGTCACATCTCTAAATATGTATTTTTTATCTGTAATAAAGTAATCTATTTCGTTGGAGGTATTTCCGTCTGAGTTCCTCCACGTCCAACGTCTGTGTAGCTTCTTGAAGAAACAGCTATTCATTGAATAAAGATTATTCTCTAGTAGAAATAAAAAAAGCATTTCACCTCTCTTATTTCTATACGGACTTCCGAAATTTTCCAGAGATATTTTCGATGCATCTAACTGTGTTCCCATTTTTGCGTTGAAATCACCACCTATGACAGTGTAATGAGCATTGTTCTCTCTTATGGACCTGTGCACATCTTCGTAAAATTGTTCTACCTCTTCGTCAGGATGGGTTGATGTTGGTGCGTACGTGGTGCTGGTGGTACGCACCAATATCAGGACCTATTAGCTGGACGAAACTCACGATGACGACTGCAAAGAAAAAATTAAAGTGAGATTAGGAACATGGAATACCCGAACCCTGTATCGAACTGGAGCACTCTCATCGTTACTACGTATAGTAAACATGTACAAAGTAGATGTTTTAGCACTGCAGGAAATGCGGTGGACGGTAACTGGCACTCTTGATAAGAGGACCCATTCCATATACAGTCCTCTTTCTCTATAACGATATGCAAGGGACCGGGAATTTTCATTGTTATAAGGAGAGATCGTTATACAGAGAGAGAGACAAAATTCGGTACTGTAATATTAATAATACTGTACTAAATAACCTATTTTAATTTAAAAAATTATCAAAACGAATGTAAATGACTTAACATTGTATTCCACATAGATTTATTAACGAATAATATAAACAATACAGTATAAAAAATGACTGTGCAATTAAAACATGTGTACTGTACAATAAAAAAATAAAATGCTACTGTAAAATATATTTAGCGTACATTATCAAAAACATCTGTCATCTTGGTCTGTCTTCTTTTCCCTTTCCACAGAACTGACCTGACCTTGTCCTGAAGACGCATCGAATCTTCTACAGCACTCATATCGTCTTCCTGGTGGATGAAAAATCGATGCAGTACTTTTGCCGCATCCAATGCCTGCTGAGGGGTCGGAGCTGGTTCTGACTCTGCTTCCACTTCAGAGTCACTGTTTTCTTCTTCTTCTACACGAACTGCTTGCAGGATGTCCTCGTTAGAAAGTCCAGATGTTGTAGCTACATTTTTATCAACTTCTTCAAAATCTGTTAGCTCTTCCGGTCCGTAGGTGATAGTAAATTCAAACTGTCTGGCCCAAACATCTAATGGCAGGTCATCTTCATCATAAGCCAATCCTTGATCTTCCAGCCTTCCTGCGTGTTTGAAGGAATGTTGTATTGCATTACTCGTCACCTCGTCCCAGGATTTACTAATCATTAGGATGGCGTCAAGAATGTTTAGTTTAAGATCGCCATTATTCTCAACCAATTCCATCAAAAGTCTTCTCCTGTAATGGTTTTTTAAACTCTTGATGACACTTTGGTCCATGGGCTGAAGGACACTCGTTGTGTTTGCTGGCAGAAAACAGAGTTCGATGTTTTGAAGGTCGTGCAATACAGGATGAGCAGGACAATTGTCTACAAGCAAAAGAATTGTTTTCCCTTTAAGCTCGATATCCAACTTTCTTATCGCTTCTTCAAAAATTTCCGAGGTCATCCACGCACTCTTGTTTGCTTTATATGTCACCGGTAGATTTTTTATGTTTTTAAAGCAACGTGGGTTTTTCGACTTCCCTATCACTAACAATTTTCGCTTCACCGAACCTGTCATGTTAGCGGCTACTAAAACTGTAATGCGTTCCTTAGAGAGCTTTCCACCAACGCACTTTTCCAATTTAAATTTTAAAGTTCTGTTGGATGTCATTTTAAAAAACAATCGAGTCTCATCCGCATTGAAAATGTCGTCTGACGCATATCGTGCCTTCAGTCCAGGCCACACGTTTTCTAGCCAATGATCCGTTACGTTTTTGTTAACATCGCTAGCCTCTCCGCTGATTTGGCCGTAGTTGATCTTGTGCCGCATCTTCCACTTGCTCAGACAACCCTCAGATGCCTTAAAATTCTCAATTCCAAGTTCAGTTGCAAAAAATTCAGCTTTTGTCCTGACCACAGGCCCAGAAAGTGGAATATGGTTCATACGCTGCTGCTGGAACCACTGAAGCATAGCGCGATCTAAATCTTCGTGCTGAGGTTTCCGCAACTTCTTCCTGCTACCGCCCTCCATCTCCGCTTCAAGCCACTTTTTTCTGTCCTTCCATATCGTAGCCACAGTTGACTGAGACAGCCCCGTCCGGCGAACGACATCCGATTGCTTTTCACCTTTCTCTATTGCTCGAGTTATCGATAGTTTTTCCTCCACCGAGATCACTTTACGCTTTTTTGAAAACATGTTGACTGTTGGCACACTAAGACGCAACTCAAACTGGAAATTAAAAGTCGTCAATAGATGACAACATCTGTGTGATAACAGTTAATTACGCCGCCCGAACAATAAACGTCACTTAACCCTCTGATAAGAAAGAGTGTATGCCGCATTCCTTAAACGCAAAACAAAACAACCGCTGAACAATGACCTTTTCATTCGTGACTCAGGTAGTGTGAACTTTAAATACAATAACACATTTGTCATGAACTATTGAACGCTAAAAAAGTTGTTGCTATAAAGAGAGAACGATATCGGCATAGAGAAATAATTAATACATTGTTCTTATGACGAACCAATCAACGTTTACTATTTTCATCGTTATAGAGGAATTATCGTTATATAGGGAATCGTTATAGAGAGAGACTACTGTAGTATACCTGCAATGGGTTAGGATTTATTGTAAACCAAACAATAAAAGGCCTTATTATTGACTTTAAAGCATACAGTCAAATAATGTGTTGTTTGCGATTAAAAGGAAAATTTTATAATTACTGTTTGATCAATGCACATGCCCCCAACCAGAGGAAATATTAGAACAGTTTTTGAAAATCCCAGACTAAGCTTACAGAAGATGTCCCAGAAATGACATTAAGATTGTATTAGGTGACATAAATGTAAGAATAGGACGAGAGCGAGTTTTCTGGACTTCTCCTGATGGAAGAACGAGTCCAGATTGATCACATCTTAATAAATTTAAGGCATGAAACAGACGTAATAAGCTGCAGGAGTTATAAAGGCGTAAATATAGACTTAGATCATTGCCTAGTAATCTCAGCATTAAGGGTAGAATTTTAAACACCAGGAAATATAATAAAATTAATAGAGATAGGACGTTTGAGGTAGATAGGGCACGTAATGTATATGGGACAAAATGACCCAGCTAGAAAAACGCTCCTAGATAGACCCATTGGTCAGAGAGAAGAAGAGAAAGACAAAGAACAAGGTTTCTTGATTACATCGATAAAGACATGAGAAATATGAGAATACGTGCTTGGCGGAGGAAGGCGATGGATAGGTACGACTACAGAGAAACTCTTGAGGAGGCTAGGACTTACGCAGGGTTGTAAAGCTAGAATGCCATTTGTTTGTACTTGGTCCGAAACGATCAATTCGTTTTATCCTGATGTTTATAGCATCGGCTTTTGTTTTCTTTTATGTGTCGAATAGGAGTATGCAGGTCTTTGGTGGTGAAAAGTGTAAGTATAAAGTGTTCATATTATACAAGCTCTCTTTTTTTGTATGTAATTTTATCGCTAAGTAAGACCTTATGTGCTATTTGATTTGGTGTCACTTTTAAAAGCTAAGGGTGTGGCATTTTGGGGTCATTATATAAGTTTTTAATTATCTTCTATGCCCGCTTATTTTTGATTCATGTTAAAATAATTTAATAGTTTGGTCCACTTTTCTTGGTTCTACCGCAACCAAATGTATTATTAGTTCCTCTCTATAGTAAATAAAGATATCAAAGAATGGGTTTTCTTTATAATTAGCGTGGTACTTCTCGAGCAGGTTTTTTGTTGTTCTTCTTCTACTTTTTTTTATATGAACATGACTCTGTCTGTTTTCAATGTGCCTCCAGCAAGTTGTCGTTTCGTCGTTTTTGTGGTTTTCCTTTCTATAGGAAAACCGTCTCTTTTCGTCTTTACTACTATATTTGTTGTCATGTGGCTTATATGGTCGTTCCATTCTACTCTTATATTTCTTTCCCGTGTTCTCCACCCTGCATATACGTCGTATATCTATAGTTCTAGCTCTGTCACATAGTGTCTTACCATCAATTTTTCTTGTCTTGCTATCATCAAGTGTTTTCACCTCTGCTGTTTCTAAGAATCCTTTTTGTCTTCTCTGTATTAGGTCTTGTTTCTGCCTGGTATGTCATTATTGGCCTGATGGTTTACATAGCAGCTTATTTTAAGTTGTTTTTCTCTCATTTGGGGACACTAGGAACACTGCTTAGAGTTACTGTGGATTGAGTAGCTCTGCGGTTACTACAGCCCGTCCCAAATCCGGATAAACTGTGAAGGGTGATTGACAAGGTTATCAACCTGCCAATCGTAAAAAAGCAAAAACCGCTCAGAGAAACAATGTACAGATTTGTTGTTAAGGTAGTTAATACTGGGACGAATTATGTGTGATAGCCCCGAGGAATGTGCTTCCGTAACGCATTCTGCAATATGTTGACAAATTTCTTGTAGCTGCGTATGTTAGCTTAAAGCTTACCTACCTATCTGTACCCCTTTTTCTAGTAAAGGAGTCCCATTTCGCGTTATTAAAATTAAATCTGCGTCAAATGAACTACCTTAGGATATATACGATGACTCTTACTGACTAACCATAATTGAGTCTATGCAGCTAATTTTATGTAGTATATTAAACATGCCGTAATGTTGGCAGGGAGAGAAAATTTAACACCGAAAGAAAGGAAACATAAAGAATCTATGAATGAGGAAATACTACAGTTGATGGGTGAAAAAGGTTACACAAAACAAATAATCCGATAAAATACAATGAAACAGATAAACTGATAAAAAAAAAAGAAAATAAGAGAAGCTAGAGAAAGATGGCTAAGTGAGCAATGCCAGGAGTTGAAACACAAACAGGACAGATCAAAGATACAGATGGTATAATTATAACAGATTTACAACAAAAAATGAACCGATATACAGAATAAATATCACAACTGTTTGATGACAAACATAGACAAGAAATCTCAAACGAATATACAGATGATACAGGGCCTGATATAATCAGAGAAGAAATAGAATATGCAATCAAACAAGCAAAAAGTGGTAAGGCCCCCGGTCCTGATGAAATTCCCGTAGAACTGCTCAAACTTATGTACGATGAATCTACATATTAAAATACTCCTAGATCTATTTAACACAATATATAGAACTGGAATAATACCTAGGGAATGGCTCCGTTCGACCATTATACTACTGCCAAAAAGGCAAATACAAAGGAATGCAACGAATATCGTACGATAGCTTTGATGAGTCATGCTCAAAAACTGTTGGTAAAAATAATCCATAATAGGATCTATATTAAATTAGACGTAGACATCAGTAACACTCAGATGGGATTCAGAAAAGAGCTGGGTACAAGGGAGGCTCTGTTTGCAATGAACGTTCTCTCACAGAGATGCTTAGACATGAACCAAGAAATTTACGCCTGCTTTATTGATTTCGAAAAGGCCTTTGACAAAGTACAACATGAACCACTAAGACACGTTCTAATAGAGAAAAATATAGACAGCTGACATATTGGAATTATATGCAATCTATATTGGAATCAAACAGCAAATGTCAAGGTTTAGGGCAGACTAACAGAAGAAATTCAAATCCGTCGAGGAGTCCGGCAGGGATGTATCTTATCGCCACTTTTATTTAATCTGTATAGTGAAGCTATCTGTGAACAAGCACTTGAGGAAGAAGATCTTGGTCTGATAATAAATGGTGAGACGATCAACAATATAAGGTATGCTGACGATACTGTTCTCCTTACGGGAACGCTAGTAGAACAACAACATCTTGTTCAAAGTCTCAATATATGCTGTAACAGTTACGGCTTGAAAATTAATTTGAAAAAAACTAAATTTATGGTAATCACGAAATCAAAGAACATCAGAGCTAATCTTGTAATAGACAATACAACGATTGAGCGTGGGCACTATTATAAATATCTAGGTGCTTGGATCACAGACGATACTGATCAAACAAAAGAGATTAGATGTAGAATAGAAATCGCTAGATCAGTCTTTAATAGAATGCGCAAACTCTTTTGCAATCGTGATATCAATATAAAGTTACGAATACGAATGCTGCGGTGTTATGTCTTTTCTACCCTGTTATATGGAGTTGAGGCTTGGACACTAAAACAGTTGACCATAAAAAACATCGAAGCTTTCGAGATGTGGTGCTATAGGCGCATTCTCAGAATATCATGGATGGACCGCGTCACTAACACGCAAGTACTCCAAACTTTAGACAAAAGATGCGAAATTCTAAATGAGATAAAAATCAGAAAGATGGAATACTTGGGGCCCATTGTGAGAGGTGAAAAGTACGAACTTTTAAGAAACATCATGCAGGGCAAAATTAAGGGCAAAAGAAGTGTGGGAAGAAGAAAAATATCGTGTCTTCGTAATCTACGTGAATGGTTCGGGTGTAGTTCGATTGAACTTTTTAGGCGCGCTGCTAACAAAGTCGCAGTGGCCATGATGATTTCCAATCTCCGCTAGGAGTGGCACGAGAAGAAGAAGAAGAAGCTAATTTTACCCATTGTAAAATCTGCTCACTCACAAAAGTATTGTCAGGCTTATATATTCTTCTCCATCTACCGTTGTTGAACCGTAAGGTCATGTCTTATCAGGGTCAGTTTTTCTTCAATTTGTGTTGCCTGTAAATCTGAGCTGTGATTATAAGTATGAGAGGTAAGAGAAACGAACAATGATAATTTAAAAAAATACTTACATAGTTTTTCGTAGCACGCATCGCAACATCCGCAAAAACTTGCTTTTTCAACCAGTATTTCGAACTCATTGCAAACGACACTTTCTTCGCATTTAAAAATGCTACAATAGATGTGGTTACAGACAATACCATCTACTGACTGATAAACAGCGAAAAGTACAATCGTGGCAAGTACTATGTTTTTCATGTTGAACTGTTTAATAATGTACGTCGATTCTTAGATTAAATTCTAGTTGTTTTTATTTTGTATTCCCAGAAAATTATTATAATTTTTTTGTTATGTGAAATTTAAAGGAACAATGTAAGAACACTGAACAAATGTTTTATTTAAATATTTTATGTACATTATTTAACAATTTAATTTAAAATACAATAGTATATTTCACGCTATATTATTTTTATTAATTTTTAATTATTTTTAATTAATTATTATTACTTTTATTTATAATGGTCATTGGGGAAATGAATGCGAAAGTCGGAAAAGCGAAAAAAATATAGAAGTATAACAGGGGGATAATACGCATTAATAGTCAATTAAAAATGGGAAAAAGTTAATTAAAATTGAAACAGAGAATAAAATTAAAATAGCTAGTACAAGTTTTAATCATGTGTTCTTCTTCTTCTAGTTCCATGACCGTTATCGATCGTTGGATATCATGTTGGCTACCATATTCGCTATCGTGATTTTATTAAGAGCAGCTCTAAATAACGATGTAGGTAGTTGATTTTCCATACCATTGCCTTGGATTTTTCAGCCATGATGTTCTACTTCTACCAGGACCACGATTACCTTGGAGCTTTCCCTGAATTATCAGATGTAAAAGAACATATTTTTCAGAGTGTCTCATAATGTGACCGAAGTATTCCAGCTTGCGTTTCTTTATTATATTGACCAGTTGCAATGTTTGGTTTAGCCATCTAAGGACCTCCTCATTTCTAATTCTGTCGACCCAGCTTATTTTCATTAGTCGTCTGTATACCCGCATCTCAAGGGCTGTCAAGCGTTTAAGGATAGCCTCAGTTAGAGTCCCCGCTTCCACTCCATACAGCAGGACAGGAAAGATGTAGCAGAAAGTCGGCTTTTAATTTCTGCAGTTGGATCCCAGCTCTCATTAATATTACTGCCGATATACACGAGTTTCTCTACTCTGTCCAGTGTGGCATCTCCGACTTTTATACAGTCATCCTGTATATAATTTATTTTGTTTACTAACTATCATATATTTAGTTTTCTTAACGTTGAATTTTAATCCATACTGATCACAAGTCTGTTTTATTTTGTTTATTAGATTTTGAAGGTCTTCTCCGCAATTAGCGAGCACTAAGGTATCGTCGACATATCTAATATAGCTTACGGTTACTCAACTCACAATAATACCTACGTTTGTCTCCATTAAGACTTCCTTAAATATTTCCTCCGAATATAAGTTAAGCAGTAAAGGCGACAATATACAGCCTTGTCTCACTCCTCTTTTTATATTTATTTCATCCGACAGTTCTTAGCTACAATTATCGTTTATCAAGATCAAGAAGAATAGTAGAAAATGCATACTTTCACAGTAGTGTGGTTTCACAGTAGAAAAATTATTTCGCGCATCAGCCGACAGAGAAAGGTTTCAGGAAATCGTAAACATGATGACGGCCAACGTCTGAATACGGACACGGCACCCAAAGAAGAAGAAGAAGCATACTTTCATCAGTTTTTCGTGTATTGCGAAAAGCCTTGTTACTACAACCAGATAAAGCATCTCTCATCATTATGACTTGCGTGGACCTATATTATTATTTAATAAAAAGGAAAGCTTATAGGAAGCTATATAATTTATCGGGTATGATGGACAGAATTGAAGATGGCGTTGTTACTCCAGGCCGTTGGAGAAATGTGCACGGTTTATCATCATTTCTCCCATTATCCAATACTGGAAGAAGACATACTTTAGAATGTGAAAATATACAGCAAGAATTTTCATACTATTTTCATACACCTTTTCTGAAATGTTTTTATGTACTTATCTTATATACTAAAACGCTAGACCCCACAATGTATATATGGATCGAAAGGTCTCGTCGAGACGAATCTAAATATGTAAATATGTACTGTTGCGATCCGACACTGGAAATGACCCGAAACGCACATAAAACGTCAATATAGAGCAAATTTGACACCGGATTCGTGATCAGCATGTAAAATTGACTGCTAAATGATATTCATATCGACATTTGATGAACTATAAATTATAAAAGTTTACATAACTTCCGGTGCCAAGCAAAAGTTTTCAGAAAATGGAGACATTGTAACAAAAATCATTGTTTTCGACGAAATATTTCGTGATATTTAATACACTTTTAACTTGCATTATTATTGATGAATGTTATGTATATTCTTGCTTATATTGTTTGTATTGATCTCTTAATTTTTCTCGCAAAATAAAAATTTCATTTAAAAAACTCGATGTCGAGTTGGTCCGCTAGTTAAATATAATAAATAAACATAACTGAGAACCTACTCACCATGTTTTTATTTTAGTTAGTGTCGAAACCAAATTTTTCCTTGGTTTATATTTATTCATAAAAAAAGTGCATCCTTTTAAATGCAAACCATTTTTAATTATAAGCGCAGTCGGCACTACTCCCTAATTTCGTAGTCATTGTCTTTTACCTTTCTCAGACCTTTGCCCTTACAGACAGCATTGAAGAACATTAAATATGGTGTATCCAATAGAAAATAGCAATAAATCAAAAGAAGACACAAGCAATCATATTCAAAAAGATAAGACAAACCCCAGAGGAACAGCAGTTATTGCACTATAATCCTATCGAATGGAAAAGAGAAGTGAAATACCTAGGAGTCATTATGAACCAAGTCTTAACATTCACGCAATACGTGGACCCCCAACCATCCTGAAAGCAACAACAGCCAGAGCAGTCATAAGATAACTAGGAGGTAGAAAAAGTAAATCGTTCGTGTAGATGAAAATAAAACTGGTAGACAGCATCATACTTCCAATAATTACATGCATCTCTCACATGGAAACATGTAAGTAATTCTACCAGCTGTAACAAGTAAGGGTGAAAAGTAAAATGACAGAAAAAGCTAGAATTAAGTTTGCAGAATTAGATTCATCTATGGAAGCAAAAAAGACCAAAATAGCAAATCCTGGTAGAGATACAGTCTAGATAATTCGTAGCTCTACCAATAGAACAATAGAAAAACCCAAAGCACGCAGCTCTGGTAATTTTAATAATTGATGTTTATTTTCAGGACAACGTTGATCGTTGACCACATTGAGAAATAAATGTTTCGGCCACCAAAAAAAATTTAAAATACTAACAAAAAGGCGACAGTCATCCAACAAAAATTAACAAAACCCCAAAACCTGGACACGAAGGGCCCAGATCCTCGAACAACGAGTTGCCGAAACTAAGCCCGGAGCAGAGACTCAGGCAAGTTCGATGATACGTCACCAAAGAAAGTAGGAAAAGAGCGCCTTATGATAGCCTGCATTGATCGGGTTAGGATATCGTGTTAGAGTTCTTGTACCCAGGACTTCCACACGAAAAGCATTTGGCTGATAGTTAGCCCCCAGCATTAGAGCGCGGGGGGTAGTTCAGAATAACACAAATCAATACACCTCGCTCCAATGAATTGTAACACCTGAATGTAATTCTAAGGGATGTGCAAGTCTCTCTGAACAGGGGTTTAAATAAAATACTTGCTTACATACCTACCATAGAGTTATGAATCCGCCAATGAACAAGCAGAATTGCTTATAGAGAGGAAAAAGAAAGAGATGATTTTTGAGTTAATTTTGTGTCTTAAATCTGAAGTTTTACTTCATTTCACAATCAGCATTTATATATTCTACTGAATACAAGAAATAGACAAACTTTTTTATTTTATTCTACTCACGATTTGATTCCTTGTTAATTGAAGTTAGAATACATGACATATTTTTGACAAATACTTGGACAAATTTTTCCACTTTAATTCAAGCTGGATTTTTAATTACATAAATGCTAATAACCAAGCAACCAAGGCTGTAGTGGTATCCAAAAGACAGGCCGCAGAATTACACAGAACAAGAAAATATAATTTGGTGTCTTTTGATTTAAGTCAAAATGTCTTTTGACTTAAGTCAAAAGGGTGTCTTTTTAACACTTAAAAGATTATGCTACAGGTAAGTAATTTCACACGACTCGATTTACATTGCCATTAAAGGTAGGTTAAAAAATAAATCTATAGTGGGTATAGCATGGGATACACAAATAATGAAATAATAATAAAAATATAATTTTTATCATTTATTTATCTACGTAATAGTATTTGTTTATAATTAAATTAGACTTTGGCGCATTTTCCTTCAGCGTTACATTCTAATCCATTGACACATTTTCCTTTGAATGGACCTCCTCCCAGGAAACGTGACCTGCAAGCATCGCCTTCATCTACAACACAAAAATAAGTTAGCTTTTAAAAACATGCAATAGAAAAACGATGAGAGATTATGGTACAGAATTAAACTGAATATCCGGGTAAAACTGGCTCTTCTGTAACGATAACTTGAAATTTTATTTTAGAAAACGCATGATAAAATTTTACTAATGGTCAGTGGTCTTATATGGACTCAGAAACATATCATATCTTGGACATATAATGCAATGAAAATAGAATAATAGTCTTTGGCTGATTTTAATGGGTAAAATTGAAGAAAGATGTGGACTTGGTAGGAAACAAGTCTCTTGGTTAAAAAATACCAAGGATATAGATCCCAATTTCCCAATAGATCGGGATATAAATAGTAGAGCAGCTGTTTAAAAGACTCAGGATGGAGTCTTGCTATGTTAATCGCCAACGTCAAGGGGACTTAACATACTATAAAGCATTAACATTAAAAAGAAGAAGTGAAACCGGGAGAGATGACTAACTTTAAACTATAGCTATCAATATTATCCCCATTTCCAAGAATAATAATGTTCTGTTTGTTTCTGTCTAACACAAAATCATCAGTTATGCTTAATGCTTGAAATTTCTTTACTTAATTAATGTTTTTTATTTTTGGCATGCGTGTTCACGTTGTATCCTCTAATGAAATAGGTTGAGGAGGGGAGAACTGTGTGTCTCAAGTTGGTCATTCAGAATTATATCTGTGTTTTTTAATTTGTTGATTTCCATAGATTCTAACAAGG